ACCCTCCCCCTGTCATGTACTCTCTCTCTCTCTCTCATTCTCGCTCTCTCAAATAAATAAATAAATCTTTAAAAAAAAAAAAAAAGGTTATTTAAAAGGTATTTTTAAAAACTTCAGTACAAAAAAATTTCTGAAATTCTCTGACACTTATAAGCAGTACAAATTTGTAACAGTTACAAAAGAATTTTAGAATAACAAGTTTATCAAAATGCACAGTCTGTATTATGTTAATTGATTAGAATTTTTTAGTTTCACTATTTTATACTTCCTCATATATTTTTCCAATCTTCCTAAGTCCCACACAGAATAATACAACCAACAACGGCTTAAAAAGCATCCTGTGGCTTATTCATTTAGGAGCAGTGAAGGAAGGAAAGCTTCAGCTCCAGGTACTCATGAACTCATATCTCCTTTTAATTGGAGGGTCAATCCTTATGGGGACATTCAAGAAGAACCCATTACTTTCTGGGTTGCCTCCATCTGGATTAACGGTGTTTAAATCCAAAACCTAAAATTGGAAAGGAAAGGAAATCTTCAAGGGCATCATCACCCTTCAAACATAAATAATAACCCTAACCTTATTCCACTAAACATAGGACATTGTTTCAGGGGAGGAAAAACAGTAAAATAAATGTTCTAGATGTCAAGATTTTTTAATTAAGGGGGAAACCCTAAGATTATTAAAAATGATAGATCCAGATATAGATGTTTGGTCAATGAATATTTTATTCTTTTTAAAGTAAAAACAAAGTAAAAAATTTGTTTTTCTTTTTTTAAATATAAATACAGGAAGGAATGAAGGGATAATTTAGATAGCACTATTCCTTTTTGAGAAGTTTAGACCCACTGATTTCTGCCTAATTTTGGATACATCCCTGTACTGTATATTATAATGACACTTGTGAAATGCTCTGTGTCTCCTAGGAACTTTATACTAGATTTGGTAACTGGTTAGAATAGGCTAATATAGACCTTAAGAATGAGATCATAACCACTAGATAAAAAATAAATTAAAAAGTACTTTATGGGTCAAGGGGAGAAACGGTATATAAATGTAAAAATAATGAACACACTTTTAGTACTAACTAGAATTAATTCACAGCCACATTACTACATTACTTACCTAAACTAATTACACTGCATTCCTAGGCATTGTGTTAATTAGAAGAATCATCTCATTAAATACTCACATCTACATTCTGATGTAGGGGCTGATACTACTATTTATAGACATGAAACAAGGGCTTAAGTTAGGTAGCCTCCTATGTATCCTGGAGCCAGTAAATGACAGAGCTAACATGCAAATCCAGGTCTCTCTGTCTCAGAGCCCACTCACTACACTACACCAATTCTGTAGGTTGGTTTTACTTGTGATAATCGTTTTCCGTTTTGTTACATTTCATCAGATGTTCTACAATTATGTATGATCTTTACATAAGTAAAAAGTTAAGACATCCCACCAAGTAATATTAAATGAATAAATATATGTGCAAGTAAGCTCCCATTTTCAAAAAGGATACAAGTTGAAATATTTGACTTTTTTTTCACCCTGATCTTTATTTCAAAAAGAGTGAAAAGAATAGAAATGCTCTGAACTTATTGGTAAAATTTAACCAAATATTTGATGTGGGTAAGTTCTTCCTCACAAAAGAGTCACAACTAATAAAAGCAGAAAGAATGGGGGGGGGGGCGGAGCAAGATGGCAGAGGAGTAGGAGACCTGGATTTCGTCTGGTCCCAGAAATTCAGATGGATAGGGATCAAACCATTCTGAACACCTACAAACTCAACAGGAGATCAAAGAAAAGAATAGCAACAACTCTCTGAACAGAAAAGCCACCACTTTCTGGAAGGCAGGATGTGCAGAGAAGTGAATCTGAGGCGATATTCGGGAGGATAGACGGCGGGGGAGGGGGCCCCTGTCGGCCACTTCTGGCAAGTGATAGAGCCGCGGAGCACAAAATCGGAACTTTTAGAAGTCGGCTCCGCTGAGGAACGTCGCTCCGGTAGCTAAGCTGGGGGTGGAACCCTCGTAGGACAGTGTGGTCTGAGGACCCTCGGGGTCACAGAAAGACCAGGGGTGCCTGAGTGTGGCAGAGCTCCCAGGTATCGGAGCAGGGAAGGTGGCTGCAGAGACAGAGCCGAGGAGTGGGCTCTCAGCTCGGGATTGCCATAAACCGTGATCCGTGGCACAGTCGGGCCACTGCTTCTCCAAGCGGTGACCCAACAAGCGGCAGATCCGGGGAGACTCACCTTCCTCTCCCGGGAGGAGCGGTGCAGGAGTGCACCGCAGGGATTTACTGGGTTTGGAGACTCCACACGGGGTCGTGTGCCAGAGATAGAAACACTCGGTCACAGGCCGGGTAAGCACGGAGTGCGGCCGGAGACCGGGGAGACAGCAGTGATTGACTGCTTTTCTCTGGGGGCTCACTGAGGAGTGGGGCCGAAGTTCTCTGCTCCTCCGGGGCGGAGATTGGGAGGCCGCCATTTTCACTCTCGGCCTCCAAAGCTGTACGGAAAGCTTGCAGGGAACAAAAGCTCCGGAGAGCAAACCCGAGCAGATTACTTAGCGCGGAAAGGCAAGGGCAGGGCAATTCCGCCTCC